AGCATAAACACACATAAACACATAAAATTTTATCAAAACTCATCTTTTTCAAGTCAAAGAGAATAACAACACAAGAAGAGAAAAGATAACCTGTAATAAATTAACTACATATAATAAAAGAAAAACATGAATGAATTTTAAAATCAAAAATTCTCATCACCTTCAAAAACATAATCAAAATAAATCTTAAAGAATAAAATAACAAACAAAAAAAAAAAAGATAAAATTTCATTACAAGAAATTTTTTCTAAAGTTACAAAAATTATAGAATAAAATTTTACTAAGATAAAAAGTAAGCAAAAAAAAAAAAATAATAAAAAAAATGGGGGAAAAAAATAGGCAAAATTAAACTTTCCATTTTCTAACCCACTATCTCAAAGTCTCAAAATATATTATTCATTTTAAATAAACAGCTCAAAGATCAACAATACAGTTTTCTTATGACGCTGTAGACGTTAAGGTATGGATTTCGGTCGCCAGTTAATAATTTATAAATTTTATGTATTTCTTGTAATTTCAATTCAAATTAATGCTAAAAATATTCATCATCGATATAAAATTCAAAAAAACTCCCATCAATTATACGATGACGATAATAATAACAATAATAAAAAATCTTTGAATAAAATTAATTATAATAATATAAAAAATTTCAATAATTCAAGTGAAACTATTACAAATTTTTTTAATGAAATTATAAAAGTTAGTAGATCAAATGAAAATGGACAATTTATATCAATTGGTAACAATGAATATTTATATGTGCCATTTCAAGTTGCATCAAATATAATTACAACAAGTACAAAACCAACAAAACGTCAGGATCTTACTCAATCACAATTAATACAATATCAACATGATAATAATGAATTTAATATTGTACAACAAGTGCAACAACAACAAGAAGAAGAACAAGAAGAACAAGAACAGCAACAACAACAAGAACAACAATATCAACAACAACAGAAACCAGAACAATTTTTACCATTAGATTTAAATATTGAAGAGATTTTTCCAATTGATAATGATAATTCAACAATTGAAATTAATGAAGAAACTGATGAAAATCAATATTATGTTATTGGAAAATATTCTGGATCTCAATTATGGAAAATTCATTTAACTGATACACGACACATTGTTGTAAGAAAATTAAAAAAATATTATGGTTAGTGTATTATAAACCAAATTTAATTCATAAAATAATAATATTCTAGTAAAACACGAGATTTCTACTAAAACATGAGATTTCAGAACCTAAATGATTTGAATATCAGAAAATAAGAGATCGATCTGAACATATTTTCAGTGTTATTAAATTGGGTTATATTATCATTTTATTTAAAAATTCAATATCATCTTTTGAATTTTCAAGTCACAACTTAAAACACTTCGAATTGAATTCTATTTTTTTTAACAAGCATCACAAAAAAAAAGTAGTTTCGTACGAAGACACTAGAAAAAAAAAACCCAAGAGATTTGTTTGTTTTTTTTTTTTTTGTTTCCAATTTTTTGCAAAAAATTTTGAATAAAAGAAAAATTAATTAATCAAGCAATCTTAATATATTTTAAATTTAACCTATCGCTTAAATAGATATTCAAATTAATTTTCATATAAACGGCTTGGAGAAAAAATCAGGTGGGAGTAAATAAAAAATTAAAGAATATTTTTTTTATGATATTAAACACACCATGCATGGTAAAATCGAAAGTATTTTAGACAATTATCAATTGCTGGTACTAAAAAAGAAAAAGTTTTCTTAAAATAGAAGAAAATGGAAAGCCTTAAGGTTCTTCAATATTAAAATTATTTTAGAATTAATTTAGTTGAATACAATTTATGGCTATTTTAAAAAAAAAGTGTGTTGATATGAAATAGTTAAATTTTATCAAGATGCAGTGGAACTGAAATTGGCAGCAATTATGTTAAATATTTCAATTAATTAGTATTACAGTAATTTTCAGTATAATTTATACTTTAATTTTTTTGTATTAACCTTTTTTCTCTTGGATTTCCTTGATTGATTATGTACATATATTTTCTGGATATTTCCTGTGTTATAAAAGTGTCCACTTATAATTTATTTTCTAATTGTAATTGAATGAGGAAAATGAATATAAAGGCAAAAGCTTCTTTCCCATAAATACCTTAAATATGTCGAATAATTGCAATTATTGTGAAGGCTATTAAATATAAAAAATTTCGGTAAACATTTTGGAAAACAAATGCATGAAATTTCATAAATAACTCATATGTATAAATAAATGTCAGATATTTTATAAATTATAAATAAATAGAAAATTTTATTTGTAATGATTTCTCATCTTAAGAATATTGTGTAATTTTTTTAACATCTTTTCGAAAATTCACAAATTTTTTAATTGTAAATTGCTTTAAAATATTTGTTTTAATAAAAAACAAATTGTTTTAATTCATACAATTATTATCACCAACTGAAAATAAACAATATTATAAATTTTTTAAATTAAATTAAATTAAAGAACTACACAAACAATTCATCATATCGATACTTTCATAATTGTCAGAAATGTAATCCAAGTAGATATTGAGGCTCGAATAAATTCTTAATTATTTAATAAAATAATTATAACAGAAGTAATTATTTTACGAACACTTTCAAAAAAAAATTTTTGTGCAAATTTTAGTATCATTGCATAATTATTTTCATTACCTATTTACTTGGACAAAAAACTTTGTATTGTAGGGCTTTTTATATTTGTTGTAAGGAATAAAATAGCAAAACTTATTTAAAATAATGAAGGGAGTAAAAATTCAAAAATGTACATATATGTACGTACACTATAATTTTTACCAATATTATTATTAAAATAAAAAAAATATTTTTGTTATAATAAACACATTTTCAGAAAAAAAAAATTCGGCCTTTTCAGAACAATTAAATTTAATTCAAATAAAGGTTAATTTTTTTATGTCCTATAATATTTCCAATGAGTTTGCAAACTTATATTTGTCAGAATTCAATTTTCACTTTCTTCAATCTAAAATAAAAATATTAAAAATTAAAAAAAAATATCTTTTTAGATTAAGAATAAAAGCTTAAATTAAGAATGGAATTGGATACTGAACAAATATTTACATACTTGTCCATATTCCAGATCCATATTCTCATATTTACCAAAAGATTGAGATTTTGGAATAAATTTAATGGAAATGTACTTATACACATATATGTATGTATATGAGTGCATAATGTGCTTAAACTAAAATTTTAAGCAAATATTCTTTCAACAGGTTACAAATATTGATATAGCCCCATTTTTTATCTATTGAAACATTTCATTTTCGAAAAATTGTTTTTGAGCACTTAATTAATCATCATTTGAGTTATGTAGCTCATATAACAAATAAACGGATTAAAATGATTTTATTTTCATTAAAAGTAAGAAACCTACACAACAATCAAATACATACATATATGCATGTCTGTAATTTACCAATCTAGTATAAAAATCAGGATCTATTTTTTTCAGAAATTGAATTTTATAAAAATTGACGATTAATTATTTAAATATGAATTTGAAATAAAATGGTTTTTAATTAGACAATAATAATGAAAATTCGATTTTTCTTTCTTTTTGTCATTCATCTAGGTGGTGAAATTTGGGACATGAATGTTGACGGAATCGATATGTTCTTTGAGAGCGATGCAAATGCATATAAGGCAAAATCTTATATTGATACCACTGAAATAACATACAATATAATGATAGATGATGTACAAGCGGCAATTTTAGATACTTTTAAAATAGCTAATTTAACAAAGGATGATGTGCCTTGGCTTAGATCTGATGGTAAGTAATCATATAGTGAAAAATCTAATAATATTGATTTCAAAATTTTTTTAACTTTTTGCAGATCTCATTATGACTTGGGACCGATATCAAGATTTAAGCGTAATTAATGAATTTTATTATTACATAGTTGAAAGATTTCCACAAATATCTCAATTGCTTACAATAGGCCGAAGTCACGAAAAGAGGGATATAAAAGTTTTAAAGTAAAAAAAATACATTATAAGCAAAATAAAAGATATTCTTTTTAAATATATTTTCTTCACTTTAGAATATCGAATGGAAATCCAGGTAATCCAGTTATATTTGTAGACGCCGGCATGCAAGCTAGAGAATGGATAGGCCCAGCAGCCTTAACTTTATCCATTTCAAGATTTTTGTATAATTACAAAACAAAACCAAATTTTATGAAAAATATTGACTGGTATTTTTTACCAATATTAAATCCAGATGGATATGAATTCACTAGAACTGAAGATAGACTTTGGTCTAAGAACCGCAGAAAAAATCGTTTTTGTGATGGTGTAAATCTTGATAGAAATTTTAATTATCAGTGGGGTAAGAAGGGAAGTGTAGGTGATCCATGTTCAACTTATTATAGAGGGCCTGAACGGTTTTCTGAACCCGAATCCACAGCTTTAAAGAATTTTTTACTTCAACTGGGGAAAAAAATTAAAGCTTATATTTCCATTGGTTCATATGGGCAAATGATTACTTATCCATGGGGAGATGATGATTTTGTACCAAACACGTATCAAGAAATGCACTCATTAGGGAAAAAAATGATCAAGGTAAGAAAATTACACTTTTTAGTTATTAAAATTACTATCAATATAGTAAAATCTATGTACTAAATTCATATTAAAATTTTTAGGCGATAAGAAAGGCAACGGGAGGAGAATATCAGATAGGCTCTTCATATGGTCTTAAATTCGCTCGTGCAGGAAATTCAGCTGACTGGGTGATGGATACAATAGCACCTAAATATGTTTTTAACGTTTATTTAAGGGATCAAGGAAGATACGGATATCTTATTCCACCAAATTTTATTGTCCAATGTGGATTTGACATTTACGAAATACTAAAAACTACCGCACAAAATATTGCAGATAAAGGCTTGAAAACGTGAATGTAAATTATAATAAAATATTAAACATATAACATACCGTTTGTATTTCATCATTGTCGCTATGGGAGTCATCCACATGTGGAGTTGATTCATCAGATAATACAGATGCCGTTAATACTTCGTCAACTACCTTCTTAAAACAATTATTTTCTATTTTAACACAATTTTTATTATATTCACTTTCCGTGTAATATTGTTTATTATTTAAAATTTGATTTTTCATCAAACACTCAGCTTCTCGCAATATTTCCTCGACGCTCCGTTCATCATTTTTGTCTGACAATCTATTTATTTCCTCAAATATGCTTTCAACGTCTAAATCGGAACTGTTTTCATCAATTAAATTTTCTTTAAAGCACTCACGTTCTTTATTTAAAAATTCTAATATTGATCTATTGAATTCATCTAAATCGGCATTGGTGGTTACCGTAGACATAGTTATGGCCTAATGTAATTTTCTTTAAAGAAAATATTTTCTAAAACAATTATTTACTCATTTAAATGCATAAAATAAATTTTTTACGAAAATAATAGATACAGAATAATATGCTTCACGAATATAAATAACAAAAATTTAGGTCCTTCCTACATTTACTTTAACTGTGTATGTCAAAAAAGGATTTTCAACTAAACAAATATTTTATTCTATTTCCCTCCACTCGTAGAAAAAGATGTCAAACAATCGTATATTAGTAGTACTGCCATAACAATACCAATTTTCTTATATTTTTTTATGTAACTAAACAAAAACAGCGCACATAACTTTTTGAAGAAATTATGTTCGGTGAAAATTAATTTCCCATTTTAATGTTCGTTTGCATGTCAACATCTTGCAATTGCATAGTCTCTGGATTATTTTTCTTAAGAAAACAACATTGTGTATTTAACCGATATAATTGAACGTTTCATACCTATGAGCGAATCACCTCAATCGTGATTAAAACTTTTAAAAAATTTTTAAATGATTTTTGAAAATAAAATTTTAGATTTATTATCAAAAATACATACAAAAAATTAAAAACGATTTGGTACAAATATAAAAAAAATATTGATTTTGTGATTTAATAGTAAAAGCTCTACAATTAATTTTTTTTGAAAATAAAGCTTAACAAAACATATTATTTTTTGAGCCTTAATACTTTCCATAAGAAGTGCTATCAGAAGTATGTTTCTTTTCTTTTCTTCAATAATATTTCTATTATTTCGTTTTTGATAGCTCAATAATCAGTCAGGGTTGAGCGCACCCTGAATTTTCAACGCGCCAAAACTTTTTCTTCTGATAACATAAAGTAAGTTTAATTTAGTGCAAATTTTTTTTGAATTATAGAAATTTAAATTGGACGAAAAGGAAATCCTGCTTAATCTCTGAGTGAATAGGTTAAAAAATGGGAACAAAATATATGCAAATGAGAATAAAATATTTTTTTGACAATGTAGATCACCTGTTAGGTTTTTTGCATATCATATGACATATAAAACATACACTGAATGACAAAGCCATAAAACGCAAATGACATTGACAACTCAAATCTGATAAAGAAGTAGTATAACAAAAACAAAATAAATAAATAATTCAAAGGCACTAGAATATAGAAAATCCAAATTCAATTAAACCAAGATTTTAACTAGTAAAAAATAATAAAAACCTTCTATTTTCTAGAGTTTTTAAATTTAGAAAATAATAAGTGATTGTTAAGAATTATAGAACATAATACTGATATGAAAATTTTGCACAAAATAAACACTATAAAATTCAAAAATTAAACAATCAGAATAGAAAAGGTTAAGGTTGCGATGATTCTACATGGCAAGGTTTTCTCAATAAAGGGCTTATGTGTAGAAAATGGTCCTAACATTCTACTGAACATTTTAGTACAAGATCTTTGAGTTGAAAATATGACATAAAAAATGTAATGTTTTTAATACATTTTTATATAAATTATAAATTATTGAGTTATATAAACTGTTGTAGAAAGCCCTTCTTAAAGAGGAATAGAATTTAATTATAAAAACTGTTCATTTTCCAAACTTATTTTTTCATCTATTAATCATAATATTTTGTGTTAAACTGTTAACTACCGAATAAAACCGTTAAGAATCTGTAAGTAAAAAATTCGAGATTAATAAGGTTTACCTTTATTAATCTATAAAGGATTAGATTTTCAATTTATACTCGTAGAGAAGATATTTGAAAAAATTTTGAGATGAGTAATACATGTTTATATGTACATACTGTTCTTTGCCATGAGTCTATTCACTTTGTGATTTATTTCTGAGTAGAAATTTATAATTAATGTATTAGGTTTTATTTTTTCGTGAAAATGTAAGGGATTGTAGCGTAGAATATCTCTGTCTTGCACAATAAAGACGCTCATTAAAAAATTCGAAAATTATTCAAAGCTAAAAAGTTCAACAAATCTTGAAAACGATCTTGCAATTATGTTTTGTTACGCAATAATAACAAACTAAGATAGGTATCGAAAAATTTTCTAGAAATATAGGTTTATGTAATTTTTGATTCATAAATTTGACAAAAGAGAATTTAAAAACTTAAGCTCTTATCTAACGAAGATATTCAAAAAATTGTATACCTGGCTTTATTATATATACGTACTTCTTAAAATAACGTTTTAAGACATTGAAATTATGAGTTAACAAAAAACAATTCGGTAGCATTTCAAACTCAAACCCAATTTATTAACTGCTTTCTTTCTTTTCAGTCATGCTAATTAACTTAGTCATCATTTTATCTTCTTTGGCTTTTCGTTTAGCTTCTTTTTGCTTCTTTTTGTCCTCTTTCTCTTTTTGTTCCAGCATTTCTTTAAATCGATCATCTCGAGGATCAATTTTAAAGCCGAAATGTCTTCTTACTTCTTCCACAAGACGCTCTTTTCGTTCTTTAGCAGCCAATGCATCCGCTTCCTTCTTTGCTATTTTTGCATTCAGATCAGCTGTCCATTGGCCTAATTTTTTCAATTTCTTCTCAATATCTTCCTCACGCTGCAATATTTTTGCTACTCTGTCAGCTTTTTCTTTCTTATTTTTCTCGATCATTTCTTCTAAACTAAAAGGGTAAGCAATTCTTTCATAATCCTTTTCCATCTGTTCATCCTCTTTTGTTGGGAAGCAAATCCTAGGGTTAACCCTACTAGCATTTCCATAGCGGCCGTATAACTTGCGTTGATATTTTTCAGTTAAATGAATCCATGAATGCGGTTCATCATAAGGACGTTGATTATTTAAAATATTCAAATGCTGAGGCAGTAGACGAGATTTATTCAAATTAACTTGTGGTTTATCTTCTTCAACTTCCATAAATGAAGGAGCTGACACTGGCTCTTCTTCATTTTCAACCTTTTCTTTTGAGTATAAAATACTTTTATTTGATAAAACTCTTACTTTTAAATGTGAATTAACTGAAATAATTCGTGAAGGATTTTTACTGCACACTTTATTAATAAACATTTTAAGAGGTTATAAGTTATGTTATGTATAATAACAATATTGTATATAAAGATATTTTGCGTAAATATCTTTTTTTGCTGTTAGTTTCACTGTAGTGACATTTAATTTGAATTGCTTCGAACAATTAATCGAATTTAACATGAATATGTATGAAGTATTTTCCGACAAAATTTTGACATTGACAGTTTTGAAAATAGTCATAAAAATGGAAACCAGTTTCACGAAAATCGATCCATCGAATGACAAGTAGCAGTAATATATTTTAAAAGTGCAATTTAAGTTCTAAATAAAACATTTTATTGCTTTTAAATTATTATGCAGGGATTTAAATTAAAGTAGAAAATTTTAAATAATCTGCCATATTTTGGCAGATATAGAATGGAAAGTAAAAACGCAGCAAAATATATGTTTCTCAAACCAATATCACATATAGAAATATCAATAAAATCGAATTACGTTTCATAGAATCATCTGGTAATGACTAAATATTTTCTATCTAGTGGTAAATAGGCGTACTCAATAAACAAAACATTCGAGATATACAATAGAATGTTTTGTTTTTGAACTGGGAAGTATTAAATACGCAAAATAAGGCTAGATAATACGAAAAAATGTCTCATATAATATTTAGAAGTCTTAACATGTCTAAGATATTGACAACCTGCTCAACAAGAAAATATCCTGTTCTGTAAGTACAAATATATAAATAAAAATGATTTCTAGAAATTTTTACGTAGTTTGTTATTGTGTAACTTATTCGCAAACTTTTAAATGAAGGAGGCAAGGTTTCGATATTTTGAAAAGATCTATGTTTATTCAGACACAAGATACTCCAAACCCGGACAGCTTAAAATTTTTGCCTGGCGTTGAAGTTTTAGGGAAGGGTAGCACGATGGATTTTCCCACCGGTCAAAGCGCCTTTTGCAGTCCATTAGGTAAATTTAAAAAATTTGGTCCAAAAAAGAATTAGTACTAAAACAAATTTTTTTAAAATATTTTAGCAAAATTGCTTTTTCGTGTTGAGGGAGTAAAGGGTGTTTTCTTTGGTTCAGATTTCATAACAATATCGAAAATGGAAGATGCTGAATGGAGTATTATAAAACCAGAGTTGTTTGCTGTTATAATGGATTTTTTTTCAAGTGGCTTACCAATTTTAAATGATGCAAAACCAAACTCAGATACTCGTACGAAAAAAGTTGCATAATTTTAGAAAGGATTCTTTGAAATTATAAAATTTTTCAGAAATAAATGAGGATGATGATGAAACTGTTATGATGATAAAAGAGCTTTTGGATACGCGAATCAGACCTACAGTACAAGAGGATGGTGGAGATGTGATTTTTATGGGGTTTGTTGACGGTGTTGTGCAATTAAAAATGCAAGTAAGTTCTTTTGGTTCATTAAATTACATTTTTTAATCAACTTACTAACACAATATATATTCGAATGTTTGCTTTTAGGGCTCTTGTTCTTCTTGTCCTAGTTCAATAGTTACGTTAAAAAATGGTGTACAAAATATGTTACAATTTTATATACCAGAAGTAAAATCTGTGGAGCAAGTTTATGACGAAGCAGATAGAAAAGCTCTTGCCGAGTTTGACAAATTAGAAAGAGGAATAAAACTAAAAGAAAAAAGCGACAAATAAATTCATTAAAATTTGTACATGTTATTTGAAAGAGTGTAAATACCACATTTTTAAAATATTCGTGTACATTAGTTGATAGGTACATTGTATTTTGTAGATCATATGAACTTTGCGCCATATCATCGGCAAATAATGGTTTTTCAAAAAGAGTGAAAAACAACAAAATTGAAATGGATTAAATAAATTGATTTTGGTCTTGTGATAAAAATTTTATTTAAACTAGATTATTTACATAATAATCGTATAAAATGTCATTAAAATTTAATTCTTTTCGGAGGTAAATTTTGTATATGAATATCATTTTTCTTTATTGGCGTGTTTTTTATTTTTTGTATATTATTCAAACAATATATATAATCTTCTTTTTCATTTTCTTCCTTTTCCTGAATATTTTTTAAAATCAAATCTAAAGTGTTTTCCATTCTCTGCCTTGATAAAGAATCGCTAGGAAGAACGTTTAACTTTAATTCCTTAGGTTTAGTCATATGCAAAAAGTTTTTTAATTCTTTTAAACTGCAGTGATTTGAGAATGCTATACGATATACTTCATTGCCTTCGTGCACGTAAATAGGCTTATTATTGCTCCAATTTCGCCAATATATTGCTGTTGGTTTAAGTATCCTATAATTGCACTTTTTTAATTTTTCTAAATTAGCAGATTTGTTTCTATTTGAAAAGTTTTTCTGTTTTATTATAACTGAACTTAAATTTATATCATTTGATAAACAGCGATCCATTTCAGGAAAATATAGATACTTTTCCAGATGTCTTTCTTCAACAGAACATAGAACTTTTAGTTTTTTGTATAATTCTCGTACTACACATTCAAGGCCATATTGCGCTGGCGTTTCTATGATAACTTTGTATTCGGACCCTCTTTCTATCCAAGTTTTAGTTAGTTCGCATATAATTCTCAAACTTTCTGATTGTGGTGGAAAATCACAGTAGTTGTCTGATAAAAATGTTGAATCTAAATGAATTACATCAAATGTTTTATTCAGTAAAATAGGATATTTATTGATTGCAGTTTCTGAATAACTAAAATACAAAAGTATTTCAATGTATTTAAAGGAAATAAAAGAAACTTATGTATTACTTTCAAAACTTACCGAAAATCACCGGTATAAAGAATTCTTTTATTTTGAGTTTCAAAAATAAACATAACAGAACCAGGACAATGTAATGCAGGAATGGTTGTCACTACTATTTTCGTATCACTTTCTTTTGGATTAAATAAAACTGTTGGAACTGTTAGAGAAATTGTAGCATATTATACAATATTAAGCAATATATGTACATTATTAGTAATTGTTTTAAAATTTGTTTAATATTACCTTCCAAATCTAAAATTTCAATAGATTGTTCTAAGTTGGGAAATTGTTTCTTCAAGAAAATTGAGGATATTTCACTGCAATATAGCTTCCCGGGTAATATTAAATCTCTATTCAAACCAATCATATGATCATAATGGCAATGTGATAAAAAAAATAAAGAAGAATGTAAGTTGTGCTTTTCAAATCTATCAACAGAGATAAAAGGAATTTCGTCTATCAATCCGTTAAAAGTACTCATTGTTTCAATGATTAGTTTTTGCTATTGATACTTTTTAAATCCTTGCAGTATTTAGCCTGTGGTCTTTTGTAAATCACAAAATACAAATTACACTTAAATTGTAATAATACATTATTACAATTTTTAATTGACTTTCACCTTTAAAAGATACTTTTATATAAAAACATAAAACATATGTGTGATATGTTACATTATACGTTCTATTTATTGTCAAGTACTTGCTAGCGGTGTGACAATTGAATAAAAAAACTATTGAATTATTCGATAAATCATTCATTCAATCATTATCTTTAATAAAACAAAATTGTTTTTTTTTTTTAAATTCATATTTTATTCATACTTCTCCAAAATTTTTTAAGAAACATGTTCCGTATTACTAAAACTGGAAACTTATTATTAAAACTTAGAAGAAAGAAATATAAAGCTCGGGAAACATTTTTGACACATTTTATAGAATTTTATATATTTTAGTTTATAGAAAATTGGTTTTAAATTTTTAGTAGATTTTAGAATTTACAACGGTAGTCTACAATACTTATGCTTCAAGTATCGATATTTTCTTTTCGTTCCTCTCACAATTTGCAATACCTTCTATAATATGAAATTTACGTATTAGAAGACAATAAGAAAATATATTTGAAATTGCTCAATTTCTTTTTTTAGTATGAAGAATCGCGGAAACATTTTGTCAAACATAATTTTCATAGATTCATTCTATATTTGAGAATTTGCGAATTAAATTTTTCTGGAGCAGAAATCTATCCTGAATGAATATGATAAATTTGTTTGTTTTATTTGCCCCTTTAACTGTTTCTTAAAAAGTTTTTAGATGTTAGCTTAGCATTTGATAAGAAAAGACCATGTATTCAATTGAAGTGCCATGTTATAAATGCTAATTATTTAAAAAAGGTGTGTAAACACCATTTAGTTCCGATATGTACGAAAAGTCAAAAAAGCTGCTATTTGGCACTAATGAAGTGAAATTTCATGAGGAAAAGAAGCAACTCATTTTGCAATTTATTATAGCATATGCTTATGCATAAACTTTTTGTTTTATTTTTTGTTTATTTTTTGACGGTTGTGTTTCATTCCGAGAAAACTTTTTTTTTATGTGCATAAAAGAAAATTTATCTCTATTTAGTCACAACTGATATGATTTCTTTGTTTTCAAAGTATTCATAAATATATAAAAACTAAATTACCGCTATATAAAATCATTGTGTTTTCTGATTCGCATTTTAAAAGTGTCACGCGAAGAGTAATAATTTTAGAAAACGGCAGATTTTTAATGAAAAGTTTAAGTGACTGTCAAAACTCCTAAGAAGTAACCGGTTTGAAATACATATTTTTCTTTGTAAAAGTAAAAAGATGGTTATTAACAAGTAAGTAAATGTATATTTCAATACTTTGCTAATTATGTGTGGATTGAGAATCCTTTTTACAGCTGTGTGTATTATTTGGTATGAAATTTGTGAAAATTATTTAAAAATTCATTCAAATTGGTCTCGTATAGATTTAGTTACTATAATGTACATACTTGTAGGTGCCCATCTACCTATATTATACGGTAAAACAAATATATTTATATGCGAATATAGCTACTATCTATGTATGTACCTACGTAGCAATTGTGTATTTTTCTTGTAATCTTCACTTCAATTTATATTGACTTCTATAACATTGTTTGATATCTTGTTTTTAGGTTTTTTGTTTTTAGATTATTAGATTTAGATAATGGAATGTATTTTTTCACAACTGTAGATTAAATACTACCTTTTTTAATTTATGATATTACATTCCAAACATATAGTACGTATGTATATAAAAATTTTTGTATTAGACTTAGTAGATTTATTATTTTTCATAATGTTCGAATAAATTAAATGTGTGTCTATGCAATAAAATATAAGTACTTTGTACATTCCATTTTACCATACCGTAAATCGTTATGTATGTACATATATTATGTATACTTATAACATGTAATTATGAGTAGTTATCATAAAGTATACATGTAGATATTTAATATTATAATGTATAATTATAATTAAGTGAAAAGCATGGTTGGATAGTCATCCAGCAAAAAAATATTTTATCTTTTTATGTTATATTACCTGATGACAATAAAAAATGACAATCGGTTTTTGTCCATTATACTGTTTTTTAACCCTTATTGGCGCAACTGTTAAAATCATGCCAATTTAATCGTACACATGTGACTATCATGACGAAAGATTATCAATACAACAAAATATATTATTTTTAATTTAATATATATAAATATTTTTATTTCTTTGAGAATACATGAAATTAAATTATTTTGGGGGCGTAAATTTAGAAACTCATTTACATTATACGTTATTGGTATAAGTAAATCATAAAACTTTGTTCTGATTTAAGTCTGATCAACTAATAATATCTGAAAAATTAAAGCATTTATGAAAATTATAAATTTTAGTCAAAATATTTCAGTTGCATAATTTGTTTTTTATGACTTTTGCATTTACTATCTACCTAAGCTCTAATTGGAGAAATCCATAATGCTCATTCAAAATTATATCAAAATCACAACCAGCTGTAGTCAATTTTAAATTACTCTAAAAGTACCAATTGCGATAAATTTGGTTATTTTTTGCACAATTTCTTTTGCATTTGGAAGTGATTGTCATATTTTCACACTAGAAGAAAATAGTTTGTTTTTAAAAAAAGTAACTTTTTCTTCAACAATTATGATTCCTTTTTTTTTCCAAAAAAAAAATATAATTTTTATGTTAATTTTAATCTTGCATGTATTTTTGAATTTGTATTTAAAAAAGTTGTGAAAAATGTTTTTGTAAATGTTTCCAAAACAATATTTTCGCGCTATTTCATTCAAACGCATTATATACCAACTATCATGTTCATTGAACAAAAAATATCATTGAGCAAATTGCAAGATTTTATAACGTTCTGATATTCAGGATTGTAGTAATTTTACGTCAGAATTCATATAGAATACACATATTTAAATGGAACTGCCAATAATCTAGTGAAATTGTCGCAGCGAATTTCACCGCTGTCTGTGAAATAGCTCAAATTTCTATTTCTTTATTTTTTTACATCGTCTATTTCCATATGTATGTACATAATATGATGCCATTGTATTGATATGCATGAACATTTGATTTTGACAAACATTCCACGATTTAGCAGTAAGCATTTTGAGTTATAGGTATAATATTTTACAATTTTAAAAATTTTGTTTTAGTTGTTTGCTGTAAATAATTCAAATTTTACCGGGTTCGTATAAATTGCTCATTATTATAATTATAGCGTAATTTAAAAATTTTACTATAAAAATTCGACCTTCAATGCCTTTGCAAAAATTGAGCTAAAACTTTCAATAAACTTTTTTAAACGCAACAAAAACACGTATCGCAGCCATTTGTTTCCGCTTAATTTGCACATAAAAACGTACAAGATTTACATATATACATATGTACGTGTTTTCAATTGTTTTTTTGCTGATCTTTAAAGCTAGAACCAAGAACTAAAAAAGCAACTAGTAAAACTTTTAATTGTAGTAAGTATACGTATGTATACTTACATATGTATGTATACATATGTATGTGTGCTTAATTTTGTTTTTATTCATTTTTTTCCTGCAATTTTTGAAAACTGTGAAAATTATAAAATACAATTATGAATTTCATTAGTGATTTGGATTGCTGTTGTTTGATGATGAGTGATTTGGATTACTGTAAATTAGAAACTTCATTTACAAAACACGAGTGCTTTTGACATATTGTAAATTGATAGAGATTGAGATAACGTGTTGATAGAGATAACGTTCATAAAGTGAATTATGAATATATCAAATACAGTATCATTGCAATTTTAAAATCAGAGATAATTTCAAAATTCTTTAATTTTATCTTTTCTTTCCTGTTTTTTTAAGAAAATGTACGATAAACGTTTTAAGATTTAAGTTTTTCTTAATTTGATGTGTGTGCAGTTTTATTTTTTTATCAAGTGTATTTTTTTCTACATTTGAAATGATAATAAATTAGTTTTAAATATTGCTTAGTCAGTAAATATTGCTAATATGGCTCTGTGTCATATCTGATTGTTATTGTATAACACGTATCAACTTTGATTTTTCAGTAGTTCACAATTCTGCTTCACACCTAATGTCAATATATTATTGTAGATAAGGTTAAGGTTATGTTTTAAATTTGAATAAAAGTTTATTACTTATTTTAAGTTATTTTGTAAATTAAATTTGTATTCTATTGCAACATATAATGATTTTAAGAAATTTTTCTAGTGGAAGTTCTATTTTAAGAGGTTTCTGTAGTTACGTGTGCAGGAGGTGGAATAGTATTACAGAATTCATGAGATAAATTTACATAAACTTACACATATTCTTTTGTTTTTATTATTTTTACAGACTTCTACCTTGCAAAATAAACATAATTAAATCGATAAGTGAATCAAATTGTGACGCTTATTTATGTGTTGATGAACAATCTTCGAATTCTTTTTCTAAAACATTCAATAAATATCGTCTGTTTGACAAAGCATTTGATTCAGAAGTATCAGTTTTGAAAGATGACGATATTAGCATGCCTGTTGTATATGCACCAGTTGGAAATCTAACCGATTATCATGATGTAAGAGTATATCAAAAAGCTATTGGAAAAGCTATTAATAGAGCAATTAAAGCTGGCTTTAAAAATCCTGCATTGGTACTGCCAAGTCGAAAAAATGAAAGGTTCCCTAGTTTGATATATGCTAGCGTTCTAGGAGTTTTGCATGAGCTATACGTAGTAAATGAATTAATAATAATTTTTTATATAGATAAAATAAATTAACCCTTTATTAATCTAATTTTAGCCTATTCAGTTTAGGGAGGCAGTTCCAACGTCTCAAGAAAGGATAGAATCTTTATCGATAATCGTTGAGAATGAAGAAGAGAATAAGAGGGTACAGCAAGCTTTGTTATTTGAGTCAGGAAAATTTGTAGCACGTGATATTGGTAAATTTTTATCGACAAGTTTAATAAATTAAGATTAAAGAAAATATTTTAAATTTTCAATGCAATTTTTTTAAATTAATGCAATAGAACATAAAAATTATAACGGCTTTTTAAATTTTTCAGGCGGTGGCGATCCAGAGCGTATGGCTCCCAAAAATATAGAATCATACATCAAACCATTGTTCAAAGATTTGGAAATTGAAGTTATAAGTGATGTACAAGTTTTGCAAAAAGAATACCCTTTGTTTGCAGCAGTAAATAGAGCAGCAAGTATGGTTGATAGACATCAAGGACGCATTATATTTTTAAAATATAAAGCAAGTAAAACGGCCTCTAAAAGTTTGCTGTTGGTTGGCAAAGGTGTAACCTATGACACAGGTGGCGCAGATATCAAAGCCGGAGGAGTAATGGCTGGCATGTCTAGAGACAAATGCGGTGCTGCAGCTGTAGCTGGTTTCATGCAGGTTATTTTTCGTTTTACAATTTATAAGGCTAAAATTTTAAGTTATTTGATTTTAAAATAATTATGAATAAATATTTTTAGGTTGTACAAGAAATGAAACCAGAAAATGTTAACGTTATAGCAGCATTATGTTTGGTGCGAAACTCTGTTGGTGAAGAAAGCTACGTTTCTGATGAAATTATTACCTCCAGAGCTGGAGTACGAATTAGAGTTGGCAATACCGATGCTGAAGGGCGAATGTGTATGGCAGATGCTTTATGTCGTATGAAGGAATTGGCGAAAAATCTGCCAGATCCACACCTTTTCACTATAGCTACATTAACAGGTCATGCTTGTATAGCTGCTGGCAGTGGATATTCAATTGTCATTGATAATAGTGTAGCTCGAAAAGAAAATCATGATCAGAAATTGGCATTTGTTGGTGAGGAAATAGGTGAACCATTTGAAATATCAAAATTGCGGCAAGATGATTTTGATTTCAATGCTGGCAAAGCTTTGGGTGAAGATTTATTGCAATGCAATAATTTGCCATCAAGTAGAACTCCAAGAGGTCATCAAGTTCCTGCCGCTTTTATGATTGTAGCTGCTGGTTTGGATAAACATGGTTTGAATTCAGATAAACCATTAAAGTATTCGCACATTGATATAGCGGCAAGTTCTGGAGATGTTCCCGATACACCAACTGCAGTTCCACTAGTGGCTTTGGCCAAAACTCATTTATGTTAATTACCTAAATTAATTAATCAAAGCCTTAAAAATATGTGAATTTTTGTTCAACTACTTCTACTTTATTCTTGTGATTAAAGAGCATAGCGTTTTTTTTTTACGTAATTACATTATTTTTCTATATTCTGTACTTATTACATATTTGTTAGTACAAAAGATATAATCACATTTTTTAATATACAATTTAAAAAAAATTTTTTTTTTATTTAATGACCTTTTTATATTTAGATGTAAATTTTAAACCTGGATCAATTGAAATATGAATCATCGGATAACTGAATTTTACTGTTCAATTTATGTATTATGGAATTTTTTTAGCATATAACATACGTATGCATACACTTTATTTAAACATAAGACATATTACATAAATATAATATGATTTTATATTTCAGTTTATTACTTATAGCAAAGTTATTGTTTTTTTGTCAGTTCTTACTGTTAGGCGTGGATTCAATATGGTATGGGCACTAAATTGTGATAATAAGAAATATTAAGGAAGGAATATCAAGGAAGATATTTATTATATAATGTATTTCGGTTATGTTTCTGAACTAAAAAAGGATATAAGGAGGGTAAAAGTACGAAATATCAAAGATAGAGAAAATCATTCGAGATTGTGTGAGTGATTGTATGATTAGGAAAGTGATGAACAGTAATAAAATAATTTCAAGTATTTTGAGAAATTTATGCAAAAATTAATTCAGTTATTACAACTGTTGATCGTGAAAGAAATTTGAAGACTGGTGAGGTAGTCACACATTATATGCACATACATTCAAGTGTAATTAAGTTTTTGTGGTATTTTAATCTGAATCTTTATCATTGATAACTTTTATCAATAATCTTTTTTTTTTTGGAACCTCAAACTGAAATAAAATTTTGTATATGCATACATCGAACTATGTAAATATTAATATTGTAAAATCGTCCTACGATTACCGTATTTATACATATTTTTTTATTTTATTGTACTTACGTTTTTTTTTATTTTATTGCAATTATAATATTCTGGAAATGAAAAATATCAAATAAGTTTTTTTTCGAGACACAATATTGTTGATTCAGATAATAAGTAGAAATTTATTTTAAGTATAGGAAAAGATTGAAAAAACAGTTCACTTCGAACACAACATAATGAGAAAACCGTTTAGAGAAAGATATTACGTTATGCGGAAATTTTTCCATTTTAATCGGTTATGTACGTATAATTTGTATAATCAATCCATAATAATTATTGTATATTATTTGCAAAGTACAAACGTAATCACATAAATGTTGATACAGATAAAAATTAGCTTGTCTATATAAGCGTATATTTTTGGGTTGCAATGTTGTAAAAGGTAAATAAATTTAAGCCAGCAATAATTTATTTATAGATAAGATATGCTCATAAATCATAGCGTTGAAGTACCAAAATTTGAAATTATTTAAGGGAATTGTTTTAGAATTACTTACTATATAATATTGTTATTGTTATTAAAGGGCAATACCATTATTTAAAGCTTAATATTATTAAAACAAAAATTGTTATCGCATTGATTCAGAAATGAGACGTGAAATTAACGATAAATATTGAAATGTGAATGTAACATACTTTTGTCTATTTTTGGTTCTAATTAATTATTGAACAGATTTTTCTATAATAATTACGTCTAATGGCACAGAATTAACACTTAAGAAATTTGATTACAACTTTTTCTTTCCATTCACAATTTTTTTTTGCTAACAATTAAGCATCTTGAAGTTTCAGCCAGTCGAAACGAATTGGTAATGTAAGCATTTTTTGAAAGTCTTTCATTTACATACATCACTTTTATTTAAATGTACATAATATGTTGATATCGATCATTTTACAATGTAAATTGTAATATACATAATAATATACTTACGTATATTATTACGTATATTCAGATACTTTTGCGTGCATTGTACTTTTTTATCTCTTTGTCATTTAATCTTGTTATATTTCCAATATAAAAATATTATTATTGAAAACAAAGTGCATAAAAGGAAAACTAATAAATTGATAAAATAAAAAAAAATAATAATGAAAAACAAACAATAAAAAAATTAATAAATAAACAGAAAGCAAAAATTTCAAAGTAAAGTCGTGGAAGGTGTGAGAACAAAAACTTTCACCTAAATGATAGACAGTTTTTTTTTTTTTTGATGAGATTTACAAATACATTCATTCATAAATCTATTATAAGACAGTATGAATGTTGGTAGAGATATGTAGATGCACAATATACCCACAGATTTGTTTGTACACATACTTTGAGTTGAACTATAAATAAATTTACAATTTTGTTATTTTTGATATTAAAATGGCAATGAAAACAACTCCAACAAAATTTTAAATAAAATGTAAATAAATACAAAAAAAAAAAAAAAATAACGCCGGTAGTGAAAGAAGAAAAACAGCATGCAACAAAGTAAAGCGAACATATTCGCTTAAATACAAGTTGTATGTGTAGAAGTTTAATGACCGCGCTGCTATATCATTCACACATAAAATAAATATCAAATTTAATGTCGAATAAGATTTTTTTATTAAAATTAAAAAATATATTATAATTATATATGTATGTTTGTATAATATATATATATACATACTGTTGCATTTTTTTCGTATTTTTATGAAAATCATTTGAAAAAAGAAAAATGAAAACAAAAGCACTTTAATTTCTTCTGCAGAAAGCACTTCCTCTACTTTCAATTTTTTAGTAATTATTTTGTAAAATTTTCTTTTAATTTAGATTAAAGATTATAAAACTTTTTCTATTTTTACAAAATATAGGAATTAGGCATACAAATTATTTAACAAAATAACTAATTATAGAGTAAATATTAATTATATATTAATTGTAATTATAAAATGTACTTGTAAAATAAATAAATTATTTTTAGTGGCTAGCTAACTAGATTTATTTCATCATTGTTTATATGGTATAAAAATAGCATAAGTTGAGGCGTAAACTAATTTATTCACTTTCATCAATTTCATCAATTCAATAATTTTCATTTGAATTCGAATATATTTACAATTTTAATGATAATTTAAAATTTACTATTGAACATTTAATCTTTCACAAAAAAATAAATGGTTTTAATTGTGTTCTAATTTTTTACTGTATCACTTCAAATCGAAATAAGTAGCAAAAAAATAGTTTATAACTATGTCAAATTTAAGTACAATAGCGCAATAAGTGCTTTGAATTCGTTAATGAAACGTGAATATTAAGTGTTTTTAATCTCTTTTCATTTATCCTTAAAATATATGTATACTATGAAACAATGGCTGTAATGTCTACAAAAAATACATAGTTCTATTGAGTAATTACGAAAATTGTCTTCTGAATTGAATAAAATGGTTGTTAATTTGTTAATTTATGGTGCTTCAATTTCATGCAATTTATTACTTAATGAACAAAAATTGTTTTCTGAATTCAATAAAATGGTTGTTAGTTTGTTAAATTATGGTGCTTCAACTTCATGCAATTTATTACTTAATGAACATAAGTGTTAACAATTAATTTATAACAAATATAGTATAAAAATAAATTACCCGTTTTTTAAATTTTTTTTTAAGGAACTTAACAATTTTCATAATTCTTTTTCAAATTTCGATTATTCATTACAAACTCAAGATCTTTCATTTTTAACCTCAGATTCTCTTCATTTTTTTAAATTGATTTCAAGTCCCTAATTAATTAGCTTTATATTGTTCAAGGAATAGATCTAGATTTATTTTCCAAATATTTTCAACTTATTTTTTATATTTTCAAGTTTGATATTTTTCAAGCTTAGCATATCTTGAATTTCATTCGATTAGAAAAAGCGTTCTTTTGATAAAATTCTCTCTTAAATTTCAGCTTAAGCACAGCATTTTAAAAATATAGAAGTAAGCTTCCAAACTGCAATTTGACTATAATGTATGATATTATTATTTATACATAATATTTTATTTTTGTATTTAAACAAAAAAAAAAATTGAAGAAGAAAAAGCAATAAACCAAATCAAAATAAAATAAATTAATAAAAAAAAAAGAAAATTTCTACATATGGCATTGCTACATGCGGAAAATTAAAATATCTATTAAAGTTTAGCAAGTTGAATGTAGGCAAGATATGTAGTAAATATTATAAGTATTATATATTTGGTTTTGTTGCATCGCGAAAAAATTTATATATATGCTTACTTCTAATATATAATATAATATATATGTAATATATATATATATATATATATATATATATATTCAAAAAAAAAAATTGTAATATGTGAATTATATAGTATCTATAGTAGTATATAATAAGTATATGAATATATATATATATATATATATATATATAGTTATATATAGTTAGTTTTATAGTATAGAAAACTATGAGGTGATGACTGATTTCAATGAATGCGGAAGTTTTTATGTTTCAACATGCTCGTTTATGTAATATTATCTGGAATATATATACTAGTCACTAGATTTATGTTTAATTCAAACTAAATATTTATATATGTTCATATATATATATGATTAAAGATATATACATACATATTAATATAAATATAACTATATGTATATAATATAATTTGTATTGTGGAAAACAATGAAAATTTTTACAATTTATGTCCATAGATCAATATGATATGTAACGTATATATGTATATGTATGTATATATCAATTTCATATATTTTATATTATATATTTATCTATCATCTAAAATTTATATATGAATTTCATATTTCTTTGAAAATTTTAACTTTTAATGTTATATTGATAAAAGATAATTGAAGTTATTATAAAATATAAGAGTATATAATTAGGTAGGTATATGTAAAATTTTTTTTTTATAAAATATAAAATGATTTAAAATGTGTCATTATATTTTTTTGGAATTAAATAAAGAAAATGAAGATAATTAATTGTAATAAAACGTAGTACAATATATTTTTGTTAACACATAATTTAAAATTCTTGTTAGATTAAATGAGGGGCTCAAAAGGCAAGTGGGCTAACCCTCAAAAATGGCCTAATCCACATATTGTGGCAAAAATTTTGGGAGTGAGGGTTAGGCCACTTTTCTTTTGAGCCCCTCAAATTATACCCGATTTAATTTAATTTTGCACTTCATTGTTTTTACTCACTGAGTGAGAATAATAGTGAGTACCTATATAGTGTATTTCGTTTTTAT